ATCGTAAACTTGTCATGAAGGGTCCAAAGTATCGTAAACTTGTCATGAAGGGTCCAAAGTATCGTAAACTTGTCATGAAGGGTCCAAAGTATCGTAAACTTGTCATGAAGGGTCCAAAGTTTCGTAAACTTTTCATGAAGGGTCCAAAGTATCGTAAACTTGTCATGAAGGGTCCAAAGTTTCGAGAGACTCCTACTATCAATTGGAATGACTTTCAAGATACTGTTGGATTCTGCAGAAAACTACATCTAAAAATGAGCATGGTGAATTGGATTCACTTTCAGAGTGGCCTAAATCTATCAGAGCCATCATTGAAATACGCACCTTAATAGAGTTCAAAATGTAAACAAAACACAAATCTAAACTTCTTGACTCCGATGTCCAAAGTACACCCAGTTATTTGCATTTAAGATATATATAGCTGTGTCTGCAGACAAAGCATCATATAACTTAAATATTGTCTGCAAACACTACTACATCAAGGACACACTACCTTGTTCGAAAATTTTGAATGACGAATTACCAGCTATTCACGCGCTATATTACATTTCTCCCCAAATAGCAACAATTGAGGAGGATCAGAACCAGACTCGTTTGATCCTTGTAAGCAACATGTTATAGCTGGATCTTGCTCAATCGACCCATTATACAAACTTCTCACTTCCATTCTTAGTGCCAATAAATCAGTGTCTAATGGTTTTGTGGAGACGATGAAATGTGGATTATGAAGATTCAAGTTTTTTTTTATAAATCTTGAGTATCAATTATTTTTTGTTCATTCCGCACTTTACCATACCTCATAGGAAACTGACAGAACGCCTTTGTTCTCTGATAATGAAAGCATTCCAGTGTGGTTATGAAATAATCACAAGAAATGACGCGCCAGCAGAGTCAACTATCTAGTTTCTTAAAATAATCAGTAGAAACACAACAAATGACAAACCTATTTGAAAAATGTTGGTTGGAGATGCAGAAAGCCAAACAAAGAAAACCTATTATTTCACCATTTTGTCTGGGTTCATCAGTAGTGTGTCGAGTACATCATTCTGGGCTCATCAGTCGTGTGTCGAGTACATTGTTCTATGCAGAAAGCCAAACAAACAAAACCTATTATTTCACCATTTTGTCTGGGTTCATCAGTAGTGTGTCGAGTCCATCATTCTGGGCTCATCGGTAGTGTGTCAAGTACATCATTCTGGGGTCATCAGTAGTGTGAGGAGTAAATTATTCTGGGCTTACCAGTAGTGTGAGGGGTACAGCATTTTGGGCTCATCAGTAGCGTGTCGAGTACATCATTTTGGGCTCATCAGTAGAGTGTCGAGTACATCATTTTGGGCTCATCAGTAGTGTGTCGAGTACATCATTCTGGGTTCATCAGTAGTGTGAGGAGTACATTATTCTGGGCTTACCAGTAGTGTGAGGAGTACAGCATTTTGGGCTCATCAGTAGTGTGAAAAGTACTGAATTCTGGGCTCATCAGTAGTGTTAGGAGTACAGCATTCTGGGCTCATCAGTAGTGTGTCGAGTACAGCATTCTGTGCTCATCAGTAGTGTGAGGAGTACATCGTTCTGGGCTCATCAGTAGTGTGTCGAGTACATCATTCTGGGTTCATCAGTAGTGTGAGAGTACATCGTTCTGGGCCCATCAGTAGTGTGTCGAGTACATCATTCTGGGCTCATCAGTAGTGTGTCAAGTACATCATTCTGGGTTCATCAGTAGTGTGAGGAGTACATTATTCTGGGCTTACCAGTAGTGTGAGGAGTACAGCATTTTGGGCTTATCAGTAGTGTGAAAAGTACTGAATTCTGGGCTCATCAGTAGTGTGTTGAGTACATCGTTCTGGGCTAATCAGTAGTGTGAGGAGTACAGCATTCTGGGCTCATCAGTAGTGTTAGGAGTACATCGTTCTGGGCTCATCAGTAGTGTGACGAGTACATCATTCTGTGCTCATCAGTAGTGTGAGGAGTACATCGTTCGGGGCTCATCAGTAGTGTGTCGAGTACATCGTTCTGGGCTCATCAGTAGTGTGTTGAGTACTTCGTTCTGGGCTCATCAGTAGTGTGTCGAGTAAATCATTCTGGGCTCATCAGAAGTGTGTCGAGGACATTGATACATCATTCTGGGTTCATCAGTAGTGTGAGAGTACATCGTTCTGGGCCCATCAGTAGTGTGTCGAGTACATCATTATTGGCTCATCAGTAGTGTCTTGAGTACATCGTTCTGGGCTCATCAGTAGTGTGACGAGTACATCATTCTGTGCTCATCAGTAGTGTGAGGAGTACATCATTCTGGGCTCATCAGTAGTGTTAGGAGTACATCGTTCTGGGCTCATCAGTAGTGTGTTGAGTACATCTTTCTGGGCTCATCAGTAGTGTGTTGAGTACTTCGTTCTGGGCTCATCAGTAGTGTGTGGAGTACATCGTTCTGGGCTCATCAGTAGTGTGAGGAGTACATCATTCTGGGCTCATCAGTGGGGGGGCGAGTACATTGTTCTGGGCTCATCAGTAGTGTGTCGAGAACAGCATTCTGTGCTCATCAGTAGTGTGTCGAGTACATTGTTCTGGGCTCATCAGTAGTGTGTCGAGAACAGCATTCTGTGCTCATCAGTAGTGTGTCGAGTGCAGCATTCTGGGCTCATCAGTAGTGTGAGGAGTACATCGTTCGGGGCTCATCAGTAGTGTGTCGAGTACAGCATTCTATGCTCATCAGTAGTGTGTGGAGTACAGCATTCTGGGCTCATCAGTAGTGTTAGGAGTACTTCGTTCTGGGCTCATCAGTAGTGTGTGGAGTACAGCATTCTGGGCTCATCAGTAGTGTGTGGAGTACAGCATTCTGGGCTCATCAGTAGTGTGAGAAGTACATCATTCTGGGCTCATCAGTGGGGGGGCGAGTACATTGTTCTGGGCTCATCAGTAGTGTGTCGAGCACATCATTCTGGGCTCATCAGTAGTGTTAGGAGTACTTCGTTCTGGGCTCATCAGTAGTGTGTTGAGTACATCGTTCTGGGCTAATCAGTAGTGTGAGGAGTACAGCATTCTGGGCTCATCAGTAGTGTTAGGAGTACTTCGTTCTGGGCTCATCAGTAGTGTGTGGAGTACAGCATTCTGGGCTCATCAGTAGTGTGTCGAGTACATCATTCTGGGCTCATCAGTTGTGTGACAGTAGTCCATATCAGTCCATATCAATAGTGTGTCCAGTAAAGCGAAAAAGGGGAAATGTGCCGATAAAGCTAATTCAGTTTATATTTTGTGGAAAGCACAAATGCCAAGATGAACTATATGACAGTGAAATCGAGAGAGTCCTGATTGACATGATCTTTGTTGAATTTGATGACAAGATTTTACGATAGACTGTAGCATTCCTATAAGAACAAACTGTATTCCTTTTCTAGCTTACGTGGTGTTGTTTTTATACGTCCGTCGAATTTGACGGGAGTATAGTAATATGGCGTTGTCCGTCCGTCCGTCCGGCGTAAACTTTTGTTTGTCCGGCATTCTCCTCCTACATTTTTCAACCGATCTCTTTGAAACTTGGTATACATCATATTCATGATATGAAGTTGTGTCCCCCTTAAAAGAATTTTGATTCGACCATTGTTCCCAAAGTTATTGCCCTTTGTTCATTTCAGTATTTGATTTTTGTCCGGCAATCTCCTCCTACATTTTTCAACGGATCTCTTTGAAACTTATTATACATTATGATAATGATATGAAGTTGTGTCTCCCTTAAAAGAATTTTGATTCGACAATTTTTCCAAAAGTTATTGCCTTTTGTTCATTTCAGTATTTGATTTTTTTGTCCGGATATCTCCTTCTACATTTTTTGACAGATTTCTTTGAAACTTAGTAGACTAAATAATCATGATATGGTGTTGTGTTTCCTTGAAAAGAATTTTGATTCAACGATTTTTGAAAAATTTATTGCCCTTTGTTCATTTCAGTATTTGATTTTTTTTATCCGGAGATTTTCTCCTACATTTTTATAGCATGTGAGCTAACCACTAGTTGATTGACACAGATCCTATTTCAATGTATTTCGTTGTCACTACCGCGGCTCTCCTTATGAGGTTAGGTTGATTTGACCTAGTTTTACATCTAAGTAACGCCTTTGAAGCAGAAGACTGCGACGTCTTCCTTTCCAAAATACCTAGTCTTATTCTCCTTGTCCATATAAATATAGGTTGCCATATAAATATTTGATTTGTTCCCTAGTTTTATTGATTTTAATTTCGTGTTACTGTATTCTTTTCAATTCCCCC